CATGCTCTGATTCATAAGGAAAAAGTGCGGCCACATTGTTCATAAAGGTAAAAGAGATCCAAACTATGGTTTGTGTTTCAACTAAACAGAAAATTACTAAAGTGCCCAATAGATGTTGGGAAAATGCAGTCCTCAGCTGCATTAACATACAATCAAAATCAAGAGAGGTACTAATACCACTCTATAAAGCCCCAATAGGACCATACCTAGAGTAATGCATCCAGTTTTGGTCACCACACTATAAAAAAGATGTTGAGATTCTAGAAAACATGCAGAGAAGAGCAACCAGGATGATTAGGGCATTGGAGACTAAAACATATGAAAAATGGTTACAGGAATTGGGCATGGCTAGTCTAGTGAAGAGAAGGACCAGGGGAGACATGACAGCAGTGCTCCAATATTTGAAGGACTCCGACAGAGTGGAAGGGGTCAAGCTATTTTCCAAGGCACCTGAAGGCCAGACAAGAAATAATGGATGGAAACTGATCAAGGAGAGATTCAACCTAGAAATAAGAAATTTTCTGACAGTGAGAACAATCAACCAATGGAACAGCTTTCCTTCGGAACTTGTGGGAGCTTCATCACTGGGGCTTTCAAAAAGAGATTGGACTGCCATTTCTCAGAAATGGTGTAGGACAGAGGTGGATTGCACCCGGTTCAGCCAAACTGTTAGTGGAATTCAGGCCTGGGTCACAGAACAGGCAGCGCCCCAGGCCTGCCACGCCCCCAAACTGGTTCTCTCACCACCACTGGGCCCCCACTATTTTGGATTTTAATGACTGCACATGTGCAGTTCACTGTAAATTGTTCTGCACATGCACAAAGAACAATTTACATTGAACAGTGCATGCGAAAGAGGGGTGCAAACTGGTAGTAAAACCAACAGCAACCCACCCCTGGTGTAGGGTCTCCTGTTTGGGCGGGGGAGGAGTTTGGACTAGATGACCTACAATGTCTCTTCCAACTCTGTTAATCTCTAATGGCTGGCTGGGGAATTCTGGGAGTTGAAGTTCACAAGTCTTAAAGTTGACAAGCTAGGATATCCCTGCTGTAGGTGGACAAGGACATATCACATACGTTAAAGCTTTTAATTATAGCATTGCCTGACCACCATAAACCAGGCATCAGATCAAAATCATAATGCTGCCTGAATGTTTAAAATATTTGTGATACAGAGAGAGAAAGAGGTTGGATTTCGCTTTAAGGACTTGTTTACCAGCCTGTAAACAACTAATTAATTGATTCCATCTTTTTAGGGCTAGGTTCGCCCACTGTGCTAAATCAAAACCAAACCATCGACATTATACCCTTCATAAAATATGAACCCAGTCTTTAATAT